AGATAGATAGATAGATAGATAGATAGATAGATAGATCGATCGATCGATAGATAGATAGATAGACAGATGGCACCAGAAACTGTACGCCATGTTAGACTCACCTCCCGTCAACCTGCTCAGAGCTCCTGTTGCAAACCTCATTACCTTTATATCTGCGTGATCTTGGATCTCGATTGTACGAGTACCTGACGTCATATCGTCCAGCATCAACATTTTATAGACGCTCTCTACGTTATGGATGAGATATGCCCAACGCCTGCAGTATAGACCTGGAGGGCTTTGCTCTGCCCCTCATGAAAGGAAGGGAGGAGAAAGGGGGGGGGGCAAAGGTCATTGTTTTCCCAACCCTGACCCACTGTGGCCGAGGAATGTTCAAATCTATTCACCCACATAAATATTTTAACTCAACCCGGTACAGAATGTGATTTGTGCCACACGTCAGCCCGTATCCATGTGTCTTTTTGTATGTCCTTTTGTTTGTCTAAGTAAGTGTGTTACGGCGCTAGCGCGCGGAACACATTAAGTATTTTTCAGGTTGGTAGGAATTAATTTTCAATTTTGAATGAATGGCGACCGAAGCCACTCCTATCGATTTTAGGACCGCCAACGGATCTTTAACGTACGCAACGTGCACATGGGCATTATTTTAGCCCTTATACGAGAAGGCTAGGTGTTAAATCTTACCTACCTTGATTACGATCAGGGGTGTGGCTGAAAGACAGCAATTAGAAAGAGTCACGGAGTGGCATAGAAAGATATATAAGTACACGCAGTGACACAGAGATACACACAGATACAGAGCGGCACACAGTGACCAACAAAGACACAGTGAGACATACAGAAGCACACAAAGACACACCGAGACTGAGAGACACTAAGAAATACAGACAGTGACATAGTTTCTGGGAATTACTGGGCTTTTTTGGAATGTTCAATATGTTTTAGGCGTTTCTTTCAATAACATGCACATCTTGTCCATAATCGTACTCATGTATGTATTTGTCACATCACTCCCCCCC